AAAGCTACTTCAGTCCTTGAGAGCCTCTGCTATATGAGACAGTTGAATTGTTTTTCTCACTGTTCCCCTCTGAGGATCAGCTCCTGTGATGTACACTAAGAATAGCATTAGAAGACTTCATTCTCCCGCAGTTGACAGGGCTTTCGATGGTTTATTACCTAGCTCAGCATGCAGCTATATACCATCGCTTAAGCTATTACGAGGATACCGTGCCCGTGCCTTGAGTGAGTTTACAAGTGATTGTAATTTCTTTTTCCCGCCCTAATGCACACGTCCGTTCTTCTCTTGTCTGTTTGATTTATTCTAACCAGAGGAAGAATGGAGAGTTGAATTGACTTGACAGGACTTGATTGCTGCCTGTTTTGTTTTATAATGTGAGAGAGAGCCAAGCGTAACGGCTTCTGTATTACAGTATGGACGTGGAACATTTGTCAGGAAGTTTTCATAAACAAGTCCAGACTGTGAGGCTGTGCAAATATTAAATATGCCGTTATTTACCAAGGAAACGAGCTCAGGAGAAGAATTGAATTATGCAGACAAAACCTCACAAAACCAACCACCAGCTTGTGCACGCACATACACAAGCGCGTAGTACGCAATGAGCTGTACAAACTGCATAGATATATGAGCGTTCATAACAAGTGTCACTACACACACACACTCACGCTCAGGCTGTGCTTAGCACCAGGAAACGAGTTGTTTTACGAGTCAACCTCCGTCTTGATAGGGGGAAATAAAAGGCCTTCCCCTCTTTCCTCCCTCCGTCTCTTCTACAGAGCGCCCCACTCCTAAATCAGACCCCTGAGAGGGGGAGGATGAGGAGGGGGGGCGGGGGGTCGCCCTGGGCTCCCTCGAGTGGCTCAGGCAATAGCAGATTTACAAGGTTTTAAAAATCTACGAGGGGCCCTCACCAGCCCAGCCGTGGCCCCTTTCACATGAAGGGGACCCTTTGAGTTTATTACCTTGTCCTGGCACAAAAACAAATGCCGCTCTCTGACATGAACGCCGACTGCTGTTGTTATATTTGCTCGAAGTTCTGTTGATGGAAGTCCCAACAAAAAAGCCTGACGGCAATGTTGAGAGTTCACAATGTTCAGCAGCAATCAATCACTCAATCAGTCACTCACTCCTTCTGTCTCTCTGCATTTGCCGTGTGCTTTTTAACCAGTGCTGAGTGGTTTGCTCGAAAAACCCACGGCCAAAACCTCAGAGGAGGCATGAGCCAAGAAAAGAGTGATGAGCGTGTACTTCAGCATAATTTAGAGAAAAGTGGTTTGAATTGATTAATGTAGAAAGCAGGCTAAAAGGGAACATGCTTGACTGAAGCATATGAGAGGCTACACTTTCATTTCCACTTTTTGACAAGCCAACAAAGCCGAGGCAATTTTCTAAACTAATCCTGAGAGGTTCTGTCCCATGCCCGCTGCATTTATCTGTTCTCCACCTCATTCAGATCCCCCTCCAAATCTGGCCCCTGCTGAATTAAGATGTGACATGGCTAAGCCGTGTGGGCATTAGCCTTGATTTAACTCTGTCAAGCTTGGCCACGTTTGAGAGTAGCCCTCCCGCGGCTGCAGGTGTTTGTCTTGTTTATTGGCACAAAGTGTAATTTTGTCCCTCTGCCTAATGCTGCGGCTTGTCAATGGATAGATAAGGACGCCGCTGCATGCCCACCGCTAACTGTGATTCGCTTGTGTTTTCTCCACAGGAGGAGTGCCAGAACTACATCAGGGTGCTGCTGGTGAATGGGAACAGGCTGTTTACCTGTGGAACCAACGCCTTCACTCCCATCTGCACCAACCGAACGGTAAAAACAACAGTTTCATTTTTGAGCCTCCTTTTCCTACAGATCTACTTTTGTCTAACTAGACTTCTTTATCTTCTTACCACGTTAATCCCAAGCATGTCAGTTGGTCTTTTTTTCATTCTAACATTTGAGAGACATTTTAATATCCAGTAAAAAATAATGGTCCGGCTTGCACTGTTGCTGGAAACATAAGCTGCTAACAGTCTCGCTGCTGCCCTTGCAAGCCAGGTTATTGTTAAAAACGTATATTTTTACAAACAGTACTGGCTTTGGGTTATATGTTGTTTGTTCCCTTTTTCATTGGAAATGACTTTTTTTTTAAGTTTGAAAATTCACCATGCAGGAGACACACATGTTGAAGTAGAACTAACTTTTCACAGAAGATTCAACATATTTTCCCTCATTCTAACGATTAGGTGACACATGAACAGTAGATTTCTGACTTTTCAACACATTCAGGTTTGGACGTTCTAGCTAGCTATCTTTGCATAACATTAGCTAACTTAATCTAATGTACAGTAAGCTAACCATGAATAGGTGTTTCTGTGGAGAACAAGTGTAACTGACTGAATGACCTTTTCTTGTGGTGCAAGCGTTTTACTATATTTACCTTCATACCATAAAGGTCACTTGTCCCCACAATTGTTGCTGTTAAACAAACGTTACCAGAGGCTATAGACTTTACCACAGCAACCACGGGTTATATCTGGCCTCGGCCCTTTGCTGCATGTCATCCCTAACCCACTCTCTCCCCTCTCAGCATTTCCCGTCGCTCTTCAGCTGTCCTATCTGATAAAGGCAAAAATGGCCCAAAAGAATATCTTAAAAAAATAAATAATAATGAAGGATTTTCCCTGGCTAAAAAAATATAAAATTATATAATTTCCAATGATGTGTTGTGTTTCTAAATTAATGAATTTAGTACCGCAACACAAGCTAAAACAGCGATCAAAAATGCTAATGTCTCTCCGACGCCTGTGGCATGAAGGAGTCCCTCAACAAGTCCCCCCCCTCCATGTTTTATCGCTGTATTAAAGTCAACAGCAGCCGTAGGGTTTTTTTTTTTTCCCCGCTTTATGAATGTCACATTTATTAGAATGGACACCCTATTACCCAAAGAACACAACTTAATACATCATTGACAATGATATTTCAGCCTGATTAAGCCTGATTGAAATGCAAATATCAAAGATTGAAGTGTTAACTTAATCAACAAAGTGAGGAGGAGAGGCGAAGGTTGATCAGCACATTTAACGGAGGTGTGATTGAGTCAGGATCTTGATATCGCAGGAAGTACAGTACGATCTATTGTTGCAAGCTCCCGTCTCTTCTGTTGTGCACTCGGGGATGTAGACTAATTATAAGATGAATCTTGTTATTGGAGGGTTATTGGAGAAGTCGTGTTCCCTCAAACTTGTTAAACGTGGTAATCAAAATGTTGCCTTAAGCTCATTACTTGCGGTAATTATGACATTCGCCCACAGGTAAACACATCCTGGTCTCGTTTGTGCTGCTTTGAGCTCCTTCATGAGTCAATGCAGTTATTTAGCTTCTGTTCTTTGTCTCAGTCCTCTCTCATATTTCTATTTATTTTTTATTTTTTTTACAGCTTTAATCCCGTGATTTAAATGGATGTTTAGTCAGACTTGTTTAAAGTTTCTTTTGTGACTCAGCACAAGCAGTGAGGGTGTCAAAACTTTTTTTTTTTTCTGCACTCACCATCAGTTTGGAACTCGCTGCCAGCCTGTCATTTCACTACAAAAGCATTTAGTGCTAATAAACATGTTTCATTCTCGTGAACTAAAGTGTCAGATAAGAAACTTTTTTTTTTTTTATCCACATATTGCAGCTGACAAGTGCTCTGTGAAGTAGAGCAAAGACCAACACTTAAAATGTCAGCGCCTTGTGCTTACCTTAGAAACTTATCAAATATCCACACGCCTTCTTTTGTGGGATTTCAGAGGAGCAGGCGGCACAAGTTTACTATTACGCTGACATTTATTTTTTGTCCAAAAGCACTGCACCCAAAGGTCACAGGCTCATAATGACTGTTTACTGCTGTGAAAATACATATAGTGGAAATGTCATGACATTATTATAGCAGTATTTTATCAGACGCTGTCATGTTTACCCACTGAACGTCCATTAATGTGAAACACTGGTTGGGCGGAGCAACAACAGAAGCATCCCGCTCTGACAGATTAACTATCAGCTGTGATGAATGAACAGAGAAGAGGCAGCATACTCTATTAGTTTAATAAGTGCTCTGAGGTTTTAGATTCACACGGCTGTTAATTTCTCTGACTTTTAGGCACGCTGCCACTGACGATGATAACGGAAGAAAAGTCGTTAACTAAGAAATTAAGCCGCTGCATTTCTTTACATTCAGGCACAAAAAGGGAACATATCGATCCTTAAATAATCTCATACTCTGAAGAAGATACTGTATCAATGGTCTTTTCTTTCATGAAAAAGTTCATTTGAGTTTGTGGATTCTGTTCTTTAAAGTCAACGTCATATTTATTGTCGATGTTTGCCATACATGCAGTACTGGAGATACAGGAAAATAATTTATCTCCAAACCAAACTCTCAAAGTTTTAAGAATAGACTTAAAACTTTCCTTTTTGATAAATCTTATAGTTAGTGCTGGTGTAGACCAGCTCTTAGTTATGCTGCTATAGGCTTAGACTACCGGGGGAACTGGCACCTTGAGCTAAATGTGTTTGTTTTTTTCACCCCCTGGAGTCTCTATGGAAACATCAGTGTTACAGCAAAATTACAGGATAGTTATGTAGGTTTGTAGTGGAGAGAGGATTCTTTTCTTCCCAACTCGAACAAACCAAAGTTAATATTTTTTTGTTTTAGTTGTCGGCCTTAAAACTTAACTGAATCTGAATTATGTGCTGGCCAGCTTCATAGTTACTCCGCGGTCATTATTGGAATTCTCATTGAACTCCAGTCAACTCTAGTTAAAAATAATTATGAAACTTTCTTTTTACTCACAGAACTTTGAAAGTAGTTGTTGAAGAGGTAAGTAAGGAAGCTGTCGCTCTACTGTAACAAGGCATGTAGTGTTTAAATGGTGATGATAAAGCTGACGGCAGTGATGATTGCACTTCGTTTGAGAAGTATGCTCGGCACCGAGTCGTTATGTACAACAACAGAATTTATTGTGACAACTCATCGGTTCGGTTCACATGTTCACGATAGCTGTTAGGATGCGTCATTGGCCAGCCGGTCACAATGACTCATCAATGAAAATCCTGTCTACCGCCACGTCTCAAGTCGTGCTTATAAATGAAGCTGATGGCTGGATTTCCTGTCATAGTGGGTTGTTAAAAAAAAAAAGAAAAATCCCTCAATAGCCACTGTAGTGTCTCAGTAGCAACCATACATAGCACCCAACTGGCTCTCACAGCGGTCTGTGTGAGCTGTCTCTTTCAGAAAGCGTCTCTATCAGAGGCATTCAAAGTCACTTCGGTGTCCTCCCCGCACAGCTGCTGGGTGCACTATAGAGATGACTTTCACTTCCCTTCTTCAAAATGCAACGGAGGCTCTGCAGTCCACCCATGTATCAGCTCGCCTCTTCTTATTCTAAATGACCCAATTGACCCCCAAAAAAACGGCTATTCCGGCACACGGAACCAGACCCATCAATACCGGGCTTTCATCTTGGCTCTGCAGGGCTGAGACAGGGAAGCTCTGTTGTGTTGTGGTTCTGATGGAGCAGAGGCGGCAGAATCAACAGAATCCTTGATCTAAATCGGCAGGAAATTATACAAAGAAGTCGCCGGTTTTCATGACACATGGCCTGAATGGAGTCTGGCCTCCTCCTCTGTGGAAGAGCCGCATTAAGATGATTCAGAACGTGCAACAAAAGATCCACAAAGAGATCCTCCGCATGAGAGGAGAGAGGAGCCGCAAATGTGGTAACCTTGCTTAGTATAAAAGTAATTACAAATTGAATGATTTAAATGATACTCCGAGCAATTCAAAACCCGGAGATTAGTGCAATCTTTTAACTTCTCGTCATGCACGTGCCCTCAGAATTCAGATGAACTTGGACGGAAGCACAAACCATGAGCTAATCCTCGGATACTGTGTTTATTTTTGCACCATAAAATATAATTACATCCTGGATATAAAAAATGCATTGCTCCGCTTTAGTATTCAGGGCTGAGTCACTGAGCTGTGCCTTGTATATTTCTTCTTAACCAGGACCCGGTGCAGTGTGTCAGGGCTAAGCCAGGGTCATGCTGTAAAAGTATTTTGGAAATGCAGGGAGTCGGATTTGGCCTCACATTCAAAGGCAGAATACGGAGGACTACTGGATCTCACATGAAGCCTCTTTTAGGCTCAGAGAGGCTTCTCAAAGATGTGGTATAATAATGTTATAACCAGACAAGCAGATGTTTTTTTTTTCTTTACAAACCAATGACACACTGCAGCCAGAGGGTTATTTTATTGAAGAAGTCTGGTTTGGGCCTTTTTCACTTTCTTAGCAGATGGTTTCTTAACATTGGACTTAAAGCAGCTGCTCCATTTGTGTGTTATACGCTGCTAATGATTCTAAATGTGTTCTCTGATTATGTTTTTTTCTGCTCCTGAAGGTTTGTGCTCACATATATCTTTGTGTGTGTTTGGCAGTGGATGTAAACCAAACAAAACATAATGAGATGGGGGCTTTTTATTTTCCTGCTTGCATTATTTGCATATTGGCAGCAACAAACAAAGCAGAACCAGACTTCTGCGGTTTGCATTTTAATGTTGCCCTCTGATGCCCTCTCTTATATTTTTCTGCAGGTTTGACAAAGAGCCGTTTTTTTTTCTTTCTTTTTTTTTCCGAAATAACACGAGAACGCATCTGAAGGTCACTTGTCTCAGAAGATTATTCCAAGCAATCAAGCTCATTTTCTCTTTCTAGAGTCGAGGTTACATCCGTTCAGTGCCTAATTATCCGTTACAATTGTCTCCCTTTCTTTTCTTTTTTTTTTTTTATAAATGAAGCTGACAAACTTGACAGAAATCCACGATCAGATCAGCGGGATGGCGAGGTGTCCCTACAACCCGCTCCACAACTCCACCGCCCTCATCACTTCCAGTGGGGAGCTGTACGCTGCCACGGCCATGGACTTCTCTGGGCGAGACCCCGCCATCTATCGCAGCCTCGGAGGCCTGCCGCCACTGCGCACCGCACAGTACAACTCCAAGTGGCTGAACGGTAAGAGGCTACAGAAAGTTTGGTTGAAAAACATTTTTTTTTTTGAAAGATTTATTTTTGGGCTTTTTTTTTCCTTTAATGGAGAGCTAGGACAGTGGACAGAGTCAGAAATCAGGGAGAGAGAGAGTGGGGAATGACATGCGGGAAAGGAGCCACAGGCTGGACTCGAACCTGGGCCGCCTGCCTGGAAGACTACAGCCTCTATACATGGGGCGCGCGCACTAACCACTGCGTCACCATCGCCCCATTACTGAGCTTTTTAATTAACTTTTTTTTTTCAACTCTGTCCCTCGTCTTCTGTCATGGCTATGGAACATCAGCGCTGCAGGGATTTCGTGTTTTGCTCAAATAAACTTAAACACGACCGCTGCTTATCAAACATTGGAGATAAAATGTGTTTCTCATGCTTGAGAGATTGTTTACCATGTGAAGTCTAAGCCACAGAAAGTCCTCATAATTGTGCTGTCGCCTTTTTATCAGTAAAATCAATTGTTTCTAAAGTTACTTGGCAACTAGAAAACCTCTATATTTACCTCACCTTTCTTTAAAGAAGCACACTATTGTGAATTCTTCAGAAATCAATGTCGGTTTCTTTTACCTGAAAACTCAGACCCACTCCACCCAAGGAAAAATCTCTGCTGAGTGCCGATTGGAGCGCTTCAGAGAGCTTAAGGAGTCCAGCCTGCAGAGAAGACGCTAAATCAGTGTCTTGTCAGTAAGTGTCTTTGATCTGATTCACGTTTAAGATAAATTGAAAAAATAAATTAGAAGCCGCCACATACGTCGCTTTGCAACCTTCTGAGAAAAGGTTTGATAACTAATTTTATGGCAAATTGATTTTTTTTTTTCCCCCCTCCGCGCTGCCCTCCTAAGGTGCAGAGGAGAAGAGGTCTGAAACGAGGGAGGGAGGGGAAACACTTTCATTTAAAGGTGAATTAAATCACTGTCAGCCAGAATAAAGTGTGCAGTTTGGATTCAATAATGTCATACATAAAGATGAACACCTTAGCTGTGACAGTGGCACTGAGGTCGCATGTTTCTGATAGGGTGAGAGCTATTACGCTTTACCTGTTTTGGTCATTTCTCATCCTAACCTTTAGGTTCTCCAGAGTGAAAAATGAGTTTTCTTATTACAGCACAAAGCCATTAATAACACAGCCTGTAGTTATTAATCCTGATCACCTGCTGTTGTGTGGGCCTCATGCTCACACACTCTGAGAGTCAATCAGTCATCACACATAACCCATTCTCTCTCCCACTCGCTCTCACTCCCACAGTGTTAAATATGTGCTTTGGACACTTCATCTTTCTCAGGTCTCTCTGTATTTATTTCTCCGTTTATCCTCTTTCCTGCTCACTTTTAGTTTTTTTTTTTGTCCTTCCCCTCGTTTTGCAGAACCCAACTTCGTCTCCTCTTACGACATCGGCAACTTCACCTACTTCTTCTTCCGGGAAAACGCGGTGGAGCACGACTGTGGCCGCACGGTCTTTTCCCGCGCGGGTCGTGTCTGTAAGAATGACATCGGTGGTCGCTTCCTCCTTGAAGACACGTGGACCACCTTCATGAAGGCGAGGCTGAACTGCTCCCGACCAGGAGAGATCCCCTTCAACTACAACGAGCTGCAGGGAACGTTTTACCTGCCTGAGCTGGAGCTTCTCTACGGCATTTTCACGACTAATGTGTGAGTAACTTTAGATTTTACCAAAGGCAAAAATAGGCCGCCTCACATCTGGAATTCAGAGAAAAGCAGATCGCTTATTAAGACAGCGGCCATTGATTTTGCCATGAAAACGGACAAATGGATCCAAGATGATTTATGCTTTCTGTAGGCAGCTAGCGAATTGAAATACTGTAAGCTCCATGAATTGATTACAAGCGGGGTTCCAACCTATGTCCCAAGGGTGCTGTGTTCACATGATTACCATGTTTTTTGTCTGTAGTCTATTGATTTGAACCCGTTTACCCAGGCAAAAGCCTTGTAAGTCGTTAGTTGGTCCTAGTCCTTAGCTTAATACTCAGATATTATCAAATAATCATTTATTAAAACTAGCCTACCATTATTTATACTGATATGCTGTTGGTGGGGCAGGAGCCAATCCCAGCTGTCATTGGAGGAGGTACGCCATGGACAGGTCACCAGACAGCCATGTATACTCACATTTTACACCTACGGAGAATTTGGAGTCACCAATTGAGCTCACATGCATGTGGGAGGAAGAGTGAGTTCCTAAAGAGAACATGAGGGGAAAACATGCAAACTCCACAAAGCAGGGGTCCCTGAGGTAAAAGTAATCACTGCACCCCAATGAATACAGCCTTTTATTATATATCAAAATGTGTACGTTTAATTATCTCAAACTCACTGTTTACAATTGAAAGACTAGAAAACCAGCCTCTACTTATCAACTTATCTAACGCAAACAAATGGCTAAAAGGTTCAAAAGCCCTGCAGGCCTTAGTGACACTGTGGAGAATGCTTATTGATGTTATCGCATTATCCATGTGACAATAGTGTTAATTGGTAATTTGGAAGATTGGTGATTATTGGTACACGGTCTGAAAAGTTAAAGCAGATCAGGAGACAAAGGGCTCAAAGATACTCTCCCTTACAAACGTGTTCTCCAGCAGACATTCCCAAGTGAAGACTTTACCACAAACTTAGTAGAAATATCTCTTTAATATACACTTGATGGCCACACAGATTTCTGACTTTTTCACAATAAAGTGTTCCACACAGAAGAAAAGAAAGACGCAGTTTAGATGTTGTATTGCAGCGTAGAGTAAGTTAGTCTGAGCCACTCAGGCTACACAAGCAGGGCAGGAGATAAAAAACTGTTGCATTCATCTCTGTTATAAACAGAAATTGTGTTTATTGTTGGAAACACATTCCAATTTTGCAATTAAAATATTATTTGTTGACAACTTGTTTTCCTTTCCTGCCATAAGTGATTTGTTTGTGATGTCTGTCACATATTTGTCTGATGTCTATGTTTCTCCTTTATGTATTGCAATTTGCATACATCATTGAGTCCATGCTAATCAAGCAGTTTGATTCAAATTGATGGATTTTTTTTTCTTAAGTTTTTTCCACAATCATCCCATTTCCATCAGCATATTTGATAGTCTGCAAAAAAAAATAAAAAAATTGTCAGTGTGAAGAATGAGAGCGAGCTCACGTTGATTTGAGTCACACCAGCACTTATCATCAGATTTTTCTTTTATCCTTTGTTGATTTTAATGCACCCGCAGGATAGCTTCATGTATAATTCACAGTGTTTTTGGCATCACACTGTCATTTGTGTAAACAAACGCACTTTGACTGCCTCTGAATAAACTTGGCATGTGACCTCTGTATCGTGCACACTGAGTTTATAAAACTAAGCAAAATATATGACAATGCTGTTTACCAAGCAGATAAATCTTTATCTGAATATTCTCCTCCCATAACACTCAAAGCTGCTGCAAACAGGATCACTTATTCCAGAGCCATCTCACATTTAAATACCATAAAAGAGGCTTATCACCGAGTATTAAAAGTTTACACTGTATTGTGCACATGGGGGATGTAAGAGATGGGATGCATCCACGGATGAAGACTATCATTTTCTCTTTTCACAAACACACTTTCCTCTTTTTTTGTCTTTTTTGTCTCCTGCTAACAAACACACACGAATAGCACGCAAAAACGCACAAACCATTATTAAAAGCTGAGTAATCTATTCTTTATGGTCAATGCCTTCACATTGCTGAAAACGAAGTCTTTTGAAGGGTATTGGAAACATTTCCCCCTGCGGGCACAGAGTTTAATGAACAGCCGCATTGGATTATAATTCACATCGCACAAGTCTCACAGTTTGAGTTGAGAGCTAATACTCTCGTTCTTTACTTTCTCTCTTTGGAGGGAAGAGGCCGGTACTTGTTGAAAGTGACAGCTTCAAAAGTCAAAGCTGTATTTCAGACCTGAGATCTGTACAGTTAATCAGACGAGCCCAACAGCTTAATTGTGTCCTGTTGCTGGATTTATAATCCAATAATGACGATCACTTACCACATATTCTGTGCCGGCCTGTCCAGAGTTTGATTTGTATGGTTGGCTGAGAGGGCAACTCAGACATACTGAGGTCTTCTTTACAAATACCAACACAATATGACCAGAGTTTTTTTCTGCTGCTGTGGTGGCCTTTTCTGACGTTTTCTCAAATGTTCTTCTTTCTCTCTCTCCCTCTCTCATCCATCAACCCCTCCATCCTGTGATCCCCCCTTTTTTTTGTGTCTCTCTTCCTTCATTTTATCTTCTTGACATTCAGAAACAGCATCGCTGCGTCTGCGGTGTGTGCCTTCAATCTCAGCGCCATATCACAGGTTTTCAACGGGCCCTTCAAGTACCAGGAGAACTCGCGGTCAGCGTGGCTGCCCTACCCCAATCCCAACACGGACTTCCAGGTAGGAAAAAAGATACAGAAAAAGCCTTTGGTCTGTTCTTTTTTTTTTTTTTTTTTTTTTTAATATTGGGACTGTAAAATCATACCACAAACACTGAAATTAGACAAAGAGTCTAAAGTTTTGTGAAAGGTGTGACACAATGCAGCTTTTTTTTGGGCTCAATATGCTCAAATGAAAACGTGGTTAATAGCTTTAATGTTAAGACGCTCGTAGGCTTAGCTTAGCATTTTAACGTGCTAATATTTGCCAATTAGCTTTACTCCACAAACACAGTAACTCAGCCTGTAGGGACATGGCTCAGGAACTGGAGGCCCCTGGTTCAAGTCCGGGTACGGAGCAAATATGGAAATAAGTCTGGTTGCTGGACATGTGCTACTTCACATCCTGGATACTGTCGAGGTGCTCTTGAGCAAAGCACTGATCCTCAACTGCTCGGTGGTGCCCGTCCACATGCAGCCCCCTCACACACTGACACTTCTCCATTCCTCGGAAAATCAAGGAAAAAAGTCTAAAAGTCAGGTTATTAATGCTGCAATCACGTTGGTCTTCTGGGGACCATGAATATATCTGCCTGGATCAAAATCAGTCAGTTAAGACCAATTGAAAAGACAAATATTGACATCGCTATGGTAACCACTATCATGTTCCAGACGGCGGTTTATGAAATGTGCATGCGAGTTTAAGTTAAGAGCTAATCTTCAATGATAATTTGTTCATGCTTGAGGCAGTTTAGAACAAACACACTGCCCAATCAGCCAAACAATTTGTGTGGCAGGGTGCGTGCCCGAGGAAATTTATGCATGCGGTGTGTCCTGTCTAATAAAAGTGTGTTCACTCTGATGAGGCTGCCTCAGAGTCCCTGTGAGCTCTTCACTCTCATTAATTTCCTCTCTCTTTCAATCACCCCTCTCTCTCTCTACTCATGAACACACACATCACGAGTGCTGGTTATGGAATCCAGTGATTTTTACAATGGCACAATTATTCATTTAAGTATTTCATAGCCTGGCTTTATAAAAAAAAGAAGCAGCCTCTTCCTAATAAACTCTCCATGTTTTTCACAAGTGGCTCTTTATGTTTATATTCCATCCTTTAAAAGGAGGAGCACTCGGAGCATTGCTGGGGCTCTAATCCTGATTTTAGGCGCCGCTCTTTACTGATGACACAGAGGGAGCGTCGTTTTATTAGCAGAAGTGGCTCTCAGTTGTAGCCGGCTTAACAGATAGCGAGGGAGCTAATCCACGCGGCTCTCCATAAGGGATTGAATTCTCTCTGAGGTCTGGCTGCCAGTGGGTGACACACACATCACTTCCACACATGCTTCCCATCAGGGGCCCCCTCGATCATGTCTCCGTCAAGCTCGCACACGCATTTGAGCATTTGCAATGCCTGCTATCAAGATGTGACATCTATAACGACACGCTCATGCAGAAAAAGTGCTAGCTGTGACAGTTTAAGAAACGCACACACGCATGAATCTGTAAAATGGAAAACATCTCATGGCCGTCATATATAGTGTATGTCTGCCAGTGCATTACCTGAAATAACTAATTTCCTCCATCTGATGCGGTGCTGACCACAGATGTATCCTGTTTAGCATACTGTTGGTACATTACAAAGATGGTTCTATATTCAGTAGGCTTGTATAAGACTCTGTTCCTGAAGGAAAAAGACAGGACCAGTTCTTCCCTCTCTATCCACAATAGCTGCCTCTCACCGCTGCACCGATGCACACTTTATCTAGGTTTCACTGACATCTTCATCAAGCATTTGTCAATGTTGGAGGATTAGATTTACGAGCGCAGGATTTATGGTCCGCCTGTTCTTTTCCAGCCCTTTGTGCACACACACCTACACACGTGCGTGCACAAATACACACCTATGGGACACCGGCGCCTCGAAAATCCACTGGACGCATGCATATCTACTGTAAACAAACACGCCCACAACATAGAGGGTTGTAGATTACTGCCAAACGGGGATAATCACGAGTGTGAACTCATCGGTTAGCACACATACTGGTCATTGATTGAGAGCTTAATTCCCTGTCTGTCTGCGCAGACAAGCCCCACCATTTATTCCAACCGCACGGATTGATCCTGCTAGGTTGATCCAGGCTATGAGTCATGTACGCTGGGTGTTAGGAGCTGATTCCCTCTCTGTGTTGTATAGGTTTTCTGTCACACTGTAATTGCTTACTGTAAAAAGGAATTCATTGTTTGGCTTTGATGTAGGAAAATATGTTAAGTCAGAGTCTGAGCGAAATGCTGGTGGAAGGTTTTTTTTGTTTTCAAAGAGGTGTCACTTCTTTCTGGTTTCCTTTCAGCGTTATTTATGATCATTTGGAGCCAAAACTGACAAATAATTGTAATCAGATATTACCCAGGATGCTGTAATTTAAAATAATGCGTGACGCATTTTAAACAAAAGCCCATTTGGCTGCTGCACAATCATTTTTTCCGTGTGCCACTTTTCCTGGCAGAGTGCGGTGCGCCGATGATGAGCGGGACAGCTGAGTGTCAGATGGGCCCGCTGCCAAATGATGCTTCCGTCCCTCACCTTGACTGTGCCGAGCAAATCACCACATACATCTCTGTGCATGTCACAGACCCTCACTGGTCAGAGGCTAACTTTGTCTCGCTGCGGCAGAAATACAATCATGCAGACACTGAAACACACACATGCAAGGACAAACCACAATAGGAAACCTTAGACATATGTTATTATGTCGCCCGCACCACACAAACATGATACACATTTAAGGCACACAATCACACACACACACACACACACACAGTGTTGCATTTCCCTGTCCTTCAGGGCTTTAATGTCTCATCTCCTGATGTGGCGAGGGCGCTGATCCGTTGCCCATCTCGGGGAAACCCACCATGATTCTCATCTGTCAGCCCAGGGAAGGCCAGGGATTGATCTGTATAAAGTATCTGTGCTGTCGCTACCGTAGCTAGTCAGCAGGAACTAATCGCCACCCAAGGTCCATACTCCACTAAGAACAGCGAGGCGGAAGACTAGAGCACACTCGTGCGATGCATCTGCGATACCAGGTCCAAAACGAGAACAGTACCAGTCATTTGGGTTTGCGTAATTGTCGAGCACAGCTTATTTTGAGGTTTCTCTGCTCTGTGTCTCAAAGAAGGACTATTCTTTTGTGGATGGGGCCTCAATCCACAATCCTCACCCCAGCCTGGGACCTCTTTCACCGAAAGGGACATGCATGGTTAGCCTCACTCATTCAGCCTTACTCTGCCTCGGCTGGACTACCTTCATGCCTCACTTTCTCTCATTCTGTATAGTTGATAAAAGGCACTGCACTCGAAAGTAGGAGTATTATCACTGCCGTGTACCTTTAAAATGTCAGCTTTAATGAGCCAACAAAAACTGCCCCATTTTTAGCTTTTTAGATTATCCAGTGGGTTCTTTTTAAGGTTTCTTTTGTCTAAGAGTAGGACATTTCTTACACACACACACACACACACACGCACTCAATCCTTCACAGTTTTGTTGAAAATAACTCACTTTGGATCTAGATTTGTTTTTCCTGAGCAGAAACAATATGCTGCATAAAGATATAGTGCGTATGCCTTGCCTTTAGTTATTAGTATGCTATTAGTGCTGCAGTGAGTCACTAAGTTGAGCCTGCCTCTCATAGCAGTGTATAATATGTTGTATATAAAATGCTTGTTCTCAACTTGGGAAGAGATCTTTCAAACTGACTGTTTCCCAGATTTAAAAAACAGTAATAGTTCAAAGAATATCATTAAAACTAAAGACACATAAAAACTTTTGCACAACTAGTATCACTTTTAACTTCTCAATATGTCTCTCAATAACTCCCATTTGGAGACTTTTCACTTTATTGAACTCTTTTTCATAAATAAAAGAGGGGAAATATCATATTAGGTGTTACACATAATAACCAAGTGCTGTGGCTGTGACTGTGCTCCAGCTGCTCCTGGGACTACTCGGACATGGAACGAGTCAAAAATGCATGATAAAACCAAATTACAATGTGGCAAAGACTCTACCTTTTTATGTGAAACGTTATTGCAGCTAGACTGTCCCCCCTTGCAGGTCCTAACATTTTAGGTGAAAGTAAATGGGAGTCCTTAGTTTGAATGATACCGCAGCACTTTGATAATGCAGCTCTCTGTTGTACTATGAGTAGCATCATTGAAGCTCGGAGATGAAAACATTTTTGAAGAGATTAGCTTATTTTTTGAGGTGGAAAGATGAATAATTAGAAACATTACTATTGAGCTACCAATAAAAGTCACGAGCAATATATATGCATATGAGGAGGAATCTAATAAAAGAGATAAGTACTCGCTCAGTCAAACATTCCTTCAGTCAGCAGCGGCGTTTTTGACTACAAAGCCTTCAGGTTGGGAGATAGCAAGCCATCACAACGAGGTGGAGAAGGACTTTTCATCTATGTTCATTTAATCATTCAATCCTTCCCCTATTCCGGAACAAAAATCTTAAGCTTATTAGCGTAGCATGCTGTACCAAAGAACTTTGCTCTTATCAAAGTAGTCATAAAACCTTTGGTGTTCTCCACCTTCACAGTGTGGCACCATCGACTCCGGCTCCTATGTGAACTTGACTGAAAGGAACCTGCAGGACGCTCAGAAGTTTCTGCTGATGCATGAGGTGGTCCAACCTGTGGTTCCTGTGCCCTATTTTATGGAGGACAACGTGCGCTTCACTCATGTGGCTGTGGATGTGGTGCAGGGCAAAGACATGCTGCTACACATCATTTACCTGGCTACTGGTGAGTACCTTACACTGTATGCATGAAGTGTGTTGAGGCTTTAACTGTGCATTAAAGCACATGTTGTACTGTTTTCATACATACACTGTCACCGTGTATTTGTACTGTGCATACATGGTTTTAGTGGCTTCTTATAGCCAGAAAGTATTTGTTCTCGGTTACATTTTCAATAGGAGCAATGCCATCCTGCATAAACAAAGGCAATCTATTTTTTCTATTATTTCACATGATATTGTTCAATATTTTGTCTATGCAACAGGTTCGATGTGGGCAGATTGTTGCGGGAAAAGCAAGTCACCATTTTTCCAGACACCAACCATTGTAAAGCCAATTTTGCATTTGAAATGCGCTGACACTTGCGGGGTCTTATTATCCATATTATTACCACCACTGACAGTCAAATCTAACAACATCGTCTACACTCTATACTTAGAGTATATTGAATAGTAATAAACTAGTAACTGATCATTTGTCACAAAACATTCCAACCATCAGCTTTAATTCATGTGTTTTCATCATGAGTATTGATTTTAATAGATGAATACTTCACTGTATGAATTCAGTGATCAACTCTCTGGGGCTTTAAACCCTTGAAGTTCACTTCCAGAGGGACTGACAGAAGAAACCAATAGATGAGGAGCTCTGAGGGGAGTTCAAAGCTTAGTGTTCTGACACATGCTTGATCACTCTTTACCTCCATATGCCCTCCATATGCACTGGCACAAAAACACATATATCGCACCATATATCACTCCAATGCAATCCAGCACTGAGAGATCCTACAAAACATGAAACAGCCAAACGCCATGTGTCACAAAGAGACAGAGTAATTTATAACACACACTAATAGCTCTGATTTAACCCTTACATGTATTCCCTGTGTGAACTGCACAGCACCCCTGCTTATCAGTCAACTGTTTGATCAAACTCAGTGTTGATGTGTGATGTCTGACTTGGCAAAGAGCTAAAAAAAACATTATCAGCAAGACGCCAGCCTGATACAGCATTTGACGCTCTGTATTGTGATATAACAGACAATATGGATTATAAGCGGGTGTACTGAACAGGATTTGAAGGTAGTGACCCACTTTATCTCGCTAATGTACCGTAGGCCCAATGGGAAATGTCAACATGATCTTCCTGTTGTAGGGCTCTGTGTTATTTTAGGATATCACACGTACAAGCACACACTTTCACACACTCGCACAACCTGTTCCAGTTCACCCGCTCCGTGCTTGGCATCCCTCTCAAAAAAAAAAAAACTCCCCTTTCATTGTCTGCATGGTTCTGTGATCAATGTAGCGTCGAACCAAAGCTGCCCACACTGCGAGTTCCCCCGACACTAACCAGACGCTAATGAAAACATCTGAAACTCTGCCAAGGCCATTGGGTAGCGCACATATTGTACATAATCACATGCTATTATTAACACCTAAATGCTCTGCACTGATTGGGGCCATTGTGGAAAAAGCTGATAGCTCCAACTGGGGGTTCAAAGATGTCTAGGTGAAGGGTTCTTTTTTAAACACACAGCTTGCAACAGATTTTACCTCTCTTGTTGTTCAGCCCTCGTTTGTTTCATTTGTTTCAGTCCTGCTGCAGCATTTTTCTCCTGCAGTTTATGTGAATAGAATCAAGTTAAATGCAAATCGTTTCCCAAAAAAAGTTTTCGAGAGTTATTGAAGGTACATGACTAAAAGTGGGACCGGTGCTTGAAAAGTTACTGAAAGTTTTATTGTGTACTCATTATATTGCACAAATTGAAACACATTTCCGTAGCAACGAATCAAGATTAGAAATACCTACGTCAACATGTGTTGGATTAGAAAGGAGAGAGTTTAAAACAAGAATGAACATAATTGATCCTTACTAAGTGGGATGTGGGTGTTGCAGGAGCACAAAGATAAAGAAGTCTGCACAAGCAATTAAAGTTAGAACAAAATAAAACTGCTTCAAATGACAATATTTTTGAAACATAAAATGAAAAGACAAGTAATCTTCCTACCCACAACTTTCAGAAGAAGTGGTGTGATTAGTAGCACCGAAATACAGCACTATTGTTACAGTAATATGGTACATTAAGGAGATATGATATTCACCATATTAGTATTATACTCTTGTTTATTTTACATAGGGTAGTTCCTGGGGTCTCATTTTAAACATGTATATTAATTGAGAATACCCAACTAGTCTAAAGTCAAGAAAACACTCCAATATGAGCACAATTTCTTAAACCAAACTGAACACAGGATCACAGCGTTGGCGGCTAAACTATGTATAGAAGTAGTATAACCTGACACATCCTACATACAGCATGTATCTCTCAATTTTTTAGATCGAAATACTGCCAAACCGTGCTGCTCCTACCTTATGCCATCTGTTCAATGTGCTTTCTTACATCCTGGTAGTAGAGCTTTACGCTAGTGTGGCCGTAGTCATTAGCTAACAGCCCCAGCTGGTTGTGGGCTGCTGACAGAAGTTTCATCCTCACATTGAGTTTCGCTCTCTTACTGGAGTACATACCTGGGTTACTTGACCAGTATCATTATGCTAGCTAAACCCGCGAGTTAATGAGACAACTTGTAGTTTCCGAGAGCATCTTTTGGTTGTGGCTAGCTGCTTCCCCGCTTCTCAAGCTACTGCGCCAAGCTAGCAGGTCCTGGATAAGCCTATTTACTGAACACACAGAGGCCAAACTGAAACGAAGCCCTCGTCAAATTAACAGTAAAGTGAACCACATAACTGAGAAAATGCTGAAGGCTAACCAGGATAGGTAGTTTTTCTCTGACTGTTTCTATTCCTGATCACATTATTGTAACAGGTTACGGAGTAATGCATAACTGGCAAACACTGCTCGGGGCAGTTCTGAGTTTTCTCACTCCTCTCTTTGAAACCATCTATTAGCAATTCACCCTTGTTCCCTGGGAACTCTGTGCACCTAATTACTTTTTCTCCACCCAGGGGATTTCATGTATAATAGATGATGTTTGTTTTAGCTCTCCCAAAAGAACAGGCCCCTAGCTTCATCTCACTGGGGCATACCTTACATAAAATAAAGGTCAGGACATATTCACAATGACACAAGTTTCCACACTATTCTCTCTCGGAATCACAAAAGGTATATATACTTCTTCTTCAATATCCCCTCAAAGCAAAGTAGGCCAGAAATCTTGTATCGAGGTGCCATAACAACTCCCTGGTTCATTCTACAGCGATGCAAGTTGATGGCATAGCCAAGCCTGGCATGCCTGCCACCACCAGTCTCTTTGACAGTCTTATTTCAGAGCCAAGGGATTCTTGTATAGTTCACAGTGGGTTCAGATATAGTTCTTGTTCTTCTTCCCTTTTCACACTCCTCCATTGTTAACCCTCCTCTCCTGCTCTGTACTCCTCACCTTCTTCACTTTTGTGGCCAAATCCTCTTACATCCTCCTCTTTCTCTTCCAGATTACGGTACTATCAGAAAAGTGCTCTCCCCTCTCAACCGCTCCACTGGGAGCTGCCTATTGGAGGAGATCGAGCTGTTCCCGCCTCGAAAGAGGCAGCCAATCCGAAGCCTGCTGATCCTGCACAGCCGCAGCGAGCTTTATGTGGGTGTAAGAGACCAGGTCATCAAGATCCCACTGAAGAGATGCAGCTACCACAAGAGCAGAGAGTGAGTTAAATGCACAAAGCGACTTGATTAATCTCACTGGAAAGAGTCAAAAACAAATATGCAAAGAGCAAAGTTTTAAAGCACCCTCTTTCATAAGATGCTCTTTATCTGAAAAGGCCAGGCCTGCGTTGCTTCAGAGGCCTCGGCTGAGATTTAAAACCCTGTAAATCAGCTTTTGTCTGAGCCACTTGAGGTGCCCACGGCTGCCCTCTGTTTACTGTCTGCCTCTTGTGTCATTGAACCCAGCGTGTTCCGCCTTGTGAACAGCTCTCTATGTGTGTGTGTATGTGTGTGCGCATTTGTGTGAGTGTGTGCGCGTGTGTGTGCTTAGCAGATATTGAGTTTCTGTCTGTCTGGAAGACGCTCTGTCAAGGCATAAATATTGGCAAAGAAAAAACTGAGACAGAGGCCGGCTGTGAAGAGTCATCATGAGATTGGGATCCCATCCATCATCGCACGTAAAAAAAGGAATCACACCTGCATTCCTTATCTCTCGTACAATGAGCTGTTATTGAAATACACGGACCAGTTAAAGCTTCATGTTACAGCTGTGGCTCTGTGATATATCCTGCATCCATTATGGCACTTCATCACCTCTTTCAAAGCCTCTTTTTTTTTTCTCAAAGCGAAAACACAAAACAAGTCAAATAAACTGTAGACTGGGGGCTACAGTGCAGAGGGAACACACATGTTCATTACTGACACTCAAGGAGGTTTACCTGTTTGAAATATTAGAAGGCTGTGCCTCTGTTTGGCTGTGTATGTTGTGCTGCTCTCTGATTGGTGCAACACAATCTCCACTGCCTTTAAGGACAGGTATTAGCTTCTTCTGTCTTTCTTACGTTTGCTATAGTCACCCTGGTATCCACCCTTCATATCATAGTCTGTCACTTTCTGCTTTTTAGTTAGCCGACCAGACGCTACGTCAGACACCTTGTTTGTGCAACCAAGCACAGACTGTTTGCCTCTCTCTGCATTTTCATATGGATGGATGCGTATGATCTTGTGTCCTTGCGTTAAGTGCTTCAGATTGTGTTCATTGTTATGAAACGCACATCACATGCAACTTTCAACACGTTTCACACAAACAATGTCAAGCTGCAGTGACGCTAGCAACTCAAAAATGTGTTATTGTCTGTCACTGCAGACTCATCTTTGCATGACAAGAGTGACATCAGGCTTTCTATTGCTCTCAGTAAAATCAGCCGAAAGAGATAGGCCAAAGACATCCAGCTTCTTTTTACCGCCGTTTCCTCGCAGTGAATATTTTTGTGGCTGATTTGTGTCAGAAATGAATATAATCCTGCTGCGTACCTGGAGATAACCTGAGAAATCAGTCAGCAAATTGTGTTTTAGGAAGCTTGAGCAATGTAAGCGTTGCACAACATTCAACAACATTCATAAATAAACATTTATTTTCTTCCCTTATCTCCCACTCACAGCCTTTACATGTGTTACCTTGTTCCCTTTTCTCTCCTCTAGCACATTCCTCTCCTATCTCTTCTCTTAAATTTCCCTTTTGTTCATCCATCATATCCCTCACCTTATCTTCCAGCAATCTGCGTAATCTCACTCTTAATTTTTTTAACGTCTAAACCTGATGATTTGATTTCTTGTAATGTCACAATGCTTAATGATGAATGAAAGCCTATTAAAATCAAACAAATTCACGTCTTTCTTTCAGGGCCTGTGTGGGGGCCAGGGACCCGTACTGCGGTTGGGACCTGTTGTTGAAAAAATGCACCACGCTGGAGGAAAGTGTCCGAATGAGCCAATGGGAGCAGAGCATCACAAAATGCCCCGTGAGTATCACTTGCCAACCTGATCTTTACATACCTGCTTTCACTTCACTCCCATGTTTGCTCTCTCCATTTTCCATCTCTACTTTGAAACTTCAAAGTTGGTGAAAAAAAAAAAAAACACAATCATCCTTACCCCGGCTTCCATCCTCGCTCTCTTCTTCATGTGAATTTAATACTCAAATTCATCCGTTCTCCTCACCTCTCAAAAGCTGCAGCCTGCTCTGTATTCTGTCCGTGCATTCACAACTTAGAAGCAGCTCCTGAAACCAGCCTGAGAAACGTATCCAACGCACAAAGAAAAGGCACCTCTGGACTGAGCAAGTCGACTTTCAGGGATGCAACATGTAACCCCGGGAATGATCCAGAGCTCTGCCTCCATCATTCCCCTCTGACGGCTTGTTCATTAGCAAAGCAGCTCTCTCATTTATTTTAACGTGCAACAAATGCGGGAGCAGTGCTAGAGGGCTGGTAAGCCTATCAATTTCAGCATGGCTCTGCTTTTCTCAGTGTTTCAGACATCCTTTAAAAAGCTAGTCACTGCAGGATGTGCTTCTGTAGCTCTGTTGTGTACTATCCAGTTATTGTATAAAAAAAATGGCAGGCTTAGCATTTGACTAGACAGTCATTGCTCAATTGCAATTTTGGAACATGTTGCACACTGTTTTCTGTCAGCATGCTAAGCTGACCTAAATGTCTCTAATTGATTACTTCATGAAGAATTAGATCAAAGATCATATCTATGTTTGCAGCTGCAGTGGAGCCAACAACCCTTTAGTTGTTATGTATTTTCATACCACTTCCCACACCAGTAATGGACTATGTACTTATGCACTTAACCTTGGTCTAACCAGGTCCAATCCATTTAGAGGGGAGCAGGAATTAACTTTGACAGTAATAACTTTGCATCCTCGGAGATACATAATTATACTTCTCAGGAAAAAGTCTGCTTGCAACTATTCAAGAAAAGTAGACTGAAAAACAAAAACATTTCCCTTCTTTTATCATATCAGTCGTTCAACGTCCTATGAGTCCATTAACACAACAACAACAACCTCAAATTAAAGAGATTCTCTGCGGTTTAAGGGAAGGAGCAAGTCGCTGTTCCATATGTTAGTCTAAGTTTCCACTCAGGTGATGGAAATTTGTTGTCCGTATATGTTTTTATGAGGAGCCCACTCTCGCCTTAATCAATCCCAATTCAAAAAGCATGATGTGAGTGTGTTCTTTAGATCAAATAAAGGAGCAGCTGTTGTTATTTCAGCCTGTGGAAAATACATTCTTTCTCTTTTCATTCATAAGAACATGAGGGCTTTTAATCATGCTGTCCCTGGAGTCCTTTACTCTTTTACTTCCTATTTCAATGAAAGAAATCACATGTTTGTCTCAGCTGTAAATATTTATATTTTTATTATTTAGTTCAAGGAGAAATTCACTGAATAAAAAAAATAAAATAAAGGGAAAAAAATATGTCCTGTCTCATCTGAGTACATTGGGATATTGTCTGTTGTTTTCTTTTGAGGCAGCCTCAGTGATGCAAATGTTGTCTGTCTTACCCAAGCGTCCCCCATTTAGACACTGGGCCGAGTTCAATTACCAATATGAGTGGGGGGGGGCAGACCTTATTTCTGCTTTTGCCAAAGCAGCTGATGATCACACTCTCGTTCCTCTCTGTATGAAAGTGTTTTCTGCATTTTTAAATCACCCTGTAATGTACCATCGACATGGCTCATATCATCCAGCAGCTCTGAATCTCACGCCTGTGCCTTTTTGTATTTAGCTCATATGCCCGGGACATCGCTCGTAATTCATAGCTCCTGTAATATCGGAGCCTTCTGTTTCATTGTGTTGTGCTTCAGATAGCTATTTACGCTGCCACTTTTATTTCCTCATTTTTCTGTCCTTCCAATGTGTCCATTCACTGCCTTGTTTTTTTTTTCCTTTTTCTGAATCTCTCTTGCTACTCCAGAATCTCATTATATCCCTAAGACAATTTTCATATTTCCTCCTCATGTTCACAGCCCATTTTCTGTCTCTATAACTGTGCAATTTTTGGATGTGCTTTCGATGATGTTATTTTTGCATCTATTTGGGGAATATTGATTTCTGTTTGTATGTCAGCTACGTTTCCCAGAGCAACATGTTCCTGAGAGCATCGCTTTAAAGCAATAACCTCTTCCTGAGAAAATCCATAACTCTTAAAATGTTGTATTTTTGGGCCCTAACAGATCCGTAATGTGACTGTCGATGGAGGCTTTGGCGCCTGGTCGGGCTGGTCCTCATGCAGTCATAATGACGGAGGCAGCGCCGGGTCCTGTCTGTGTCGAACGCGAGCCTGTGATAACCCCGCCCCTCAGTGTGGAGGGGAGCAGTGCTACGGCATCAGCGTGGAGGTGGCAAACTGCTCCAGGTAACATCTTAGCTGCTACACAAGGGGTATCTGGAAATCTGTATCTGTAAACATCCTCTGAATATGACTGAAATAGTCTACTTTAAAAGTGGAAAAGGTAAGTTTATAAAGGAGGACTCTATGAATTCTTTATGAATTTAATGAATTCCCTGCATGCCCACACCTTCTCATCAAGACAACATGCTCATTAATGTTTCCTGTGTTGAATATTCAGTGTCAGTCCTTTGGGACTTTGTGATGATTTGGGTGTTATTTTGTCTCACTCCTTCAGCTGACATAAAAACCGATTTTAACACCCTGATTGAAAATGAACTGACATGATTCCAGTTGTGAATCAATCTCCGGAGCCCAAGTTATGAGATTCACTATGAAAAGGAAAATGCAGCTTATCATTTCATATCAAAGCCTTAACGAAGAGTTGCTTCGCATCATTTCTTTATTCATCTCTTGGAGTTTAAAGTGTTCACCGAATTAGTCACTGATTAATTACTTACTGATCAACCAATCAGGTGATCCACTCCACAGTATGCGTCAGCACGAGGTTCATGAGGATGGCCTCTCTGTCTAAGTCAGTTAGGTCAAGTCATGACATGTGGATCCTGCTGGCTTCCCACTAGACATCAACACAGATAATCAGTCACTTAACTTCGCTCTCAGCAGTGCTGTGTTTGTGTTGTCATTGATATTAATAATAATATTAATAATAATAATAATAATAATAATAATACATTTAATTTGTAACACACTTTACATTTTTGCAAAGTGCTACAGGAAATAAAATAGAAATAAAAAATAAAATAAAAAATGTCATTCTTAAATTGGAAAAGTAATCTGTAGTCTGCACGGTTCCAGCCCCCACCACTTATCTCATTATGTTGGAAACACAAGAATAAACTAGCTTATTCACCAGCTAATGAGTTAGCCTCGCTGTTGATGGTTAAGCTTGATGACCTCCTGTCGGCCAACCTCTCGCTCCTCTCCTCCTAATGATGATCACTTCCGGCTCCAGAAAACAAACATGGCAGCAGCCAAATGTGGAACTCGAAGCTTCACTGTCACAGGCGGGAAAATGGTTGATGTAACGGTGGCTACATCCATTATTGAAGTTTATGGTTTTATACGCATTCACCTTCACTAACTTAGTAGTCACTCTGTATCATTTCTGATTTCATCCAAATCAATTCCATTCAGACTTTCTCGTCCAGTGAATGCATTTTTCCAGTGAGGGTTATTTGGCCACCCAACACCAAGCAGCATTTTTGTGCACTACTTTGAGGTCTCAGCTTTTATTTGTGAAGTTAATGATGAGGAATACATCCATCTAATGCTTTCATTTCATCCTGAAGAATTAGGGGAACCTGACAAAAGAAACACTTGAAACATCAACATTAAAGATGTTCAATATTTATTCTGTTACACCTTCTTAAGTAGAAGAATTTACAGCCCTAAAATCTGAAACATATATATGACTCTGTTCAGCTTTTCAAAATTTACTTTTAAACCCTCCAGCAGCGTTTCTCAGGGTGGTGTTGTGTTCTAGCTTCCATCATTCCTTGCTTTGTGTGTTTCCACAGAAACGGAGCGTGGACTCCCTGGACTTCCTGGTCACCCTGCAGCACTAGCTGTGGTATCGGCTTCCAGGTCCGTCAGCGCTCATGCAGCAACCCGACCCCTCGGCATGGTGGGCGAGTGTGTGTCGGACAGAACCGTGAGGAGAGGTATAACACACACACACACACACACACACACACACACACACACACACACAAACACACACTGACACACAAATACTCGAGTTTCCTTCACATGTACCGTTTAAAGCAAATACAGGCTGTTTATGTGTGTTATGATTCTGTGTTTAATTGTTTAAATACAACGTTTTTCAATAATTTGTGACCTGCAGTTAAGAAGTATGACTTTGTCTGTGACTTTTCCTTTTCTTTTTTTCTTTTTTCTTCACTTCTGTCTAACTTTGTGACAGCCAATTAAGGAATGAGTAGGGTAGAGGCCTGAGCTCGGGTAATTATCTTGCTTTCACACACAGGCAGAGTCTGCATTTTGAAGCTTTGGAGGCTTTGGCGGAGAATAATCGCCTTTTTAAAGATGTTTGTGCCGTTTCTAAGCAACCTACAAGGCCTGAAGGTGGGGAAAAAAAAAATCAGCTTCTCAAGGAGAAAGACTGTGAAGGAACACAAAGAGACACACGAAGCAGCTCAGGTAGAAAAGGTCACCAGATGAGTGTTCTCACAGTGAAAGTTTTCTCTATTTCATTTGGTGATCTCAAACTTTAGTTCAGTTGCCAAATCAAGAAGAAGGACTTTGGAAAGGCCGTGACAGCTTCCATGGTGTTTGAAAATTGGATGATAGCAGCTGTATTACATTATTTCAATTCCAGCTTAATAGAAAGTGCTGTTTAATAATGAACGGAGACATTCTCCTTCGGTGTCCAGCGCTCCCCAGCCAGGCGCCGTGCTGATGTTTTTCATCTTACTCCCGCAGTTAACCAGCAGTAGAGGCAGAAAAGTGCAAATAAATACAGTTCAGAGGCTACAGGGAAGGGAGGAGGAGAAATAAATTGTTACTAAGCGTTGCCCTGGCAACTACAGCAGCATTGCGATGGACGAGTAATTGGATATGGCCTTCAAGGATGAACCTTATATTGCATCCTTTTTTTCCCCTCCTTTTTCATTTCCTCTCTCCCTCCACCTTCCCATTTCATACTCACTGATGCTCCTGGTGGAGCCGTCCTTTTTCTCAAGGACTGCTCCTCCAGGAGCGCTGATGTAAAATATATCGAGTGACCAGCAGGGGGGTGGGGGGGGGGGGAGAGCCTAAAGACCAGCAAGGCTGTTTTCTCCCGCTCCTTCTCTTTCTCTCTTTGAGCTCTAATCTGCCTTGTTTCATCTCCGCTTCCCGCTCTGTTCAGCTATTTAAAACACCTTAGGCCAGTTAAGGGCCAGCTGTGAGGGCTGTAAAAGGATCCATGTGAGGTGGGAGTGAGAGGAGAGGAGTTTGTGTGTCTATGTGAAAGAGATGGAAAGAGAATCTGTGTTAGCAGATAAATAATGCTGTGTAAGTTTGTGTCTGCCTGAGGGAGTAAAACACATGATGGAGATGCTAGATGTTTCTGTGTGTTCTGTGTGAGCAAATCCAGGCGTGTCAGGAATGTAAATAACAAATTCTTCAAAAACAAAAGCAGGAACTTGCATTCGATGCCCAACCAGCGTAGTGGTGTCCAAAACCTTTCCACCACATCAGTTGTTTACTGTTATCCATGTGTGAAATAGGTAAATTCTTCTGTACAGGCCTTAATCCACACAGCATGAAAAGGGCTGGCACTTTCCCTCAGCTTTTGCTCACTGAACATTTCATTGAAAGCAGTGAAAGGCTTTTATTTGACGGGGCACAGGCTTCCTTGTATGTTTGCACTTTGTTCCTCGACGACCCTGTTAGGATTAATGCACATTTCTGTTCAAACATGCATGGATATAGTCTGAGAAGCAGCATATTTAGAAAAGGATTCAAAGGATGCTCTTCTCTCACCTCTTCTCTGTGTCTTGTAGCCAAGCGGCTTCCCATTAGTTTGGCCCTGATTTTTTTTTTTTTTTGCAGCAGGCAAAGCTTTTAAAGATCAAGCAAACGTTCTGAAACCGACTGTGCGCAGCACCGCTATGGGCTTAAACCTGGCTGGTTAATGCCTGTGTTTATGCACCTTCTGTCGGTATTTCCCTTAGCATACTGACTTCGTCCATACTGCTTACTCAGCCTTAAACGGGTAATTAGCAGCGTTTTACTCTGATCAGCTCTGTGTTATAACAGAGAGAAGAGACAGGGATACAATGAAGGAAAGCCAATCACTTGTCTTAAATGATGAAAGTATGTACGATGATGATGTTGAAGCTTAAAATCTGCCTTACATTACACATATCTGTGTGTGTGTGTAAGTGTGTACGGCTTGTGAAGGATTGTATCTACAATCTTCCCCTCACTCCTCTTTGTCACTGTATCATCCTCGTACAAGCGTGCAGATTAGTAAAAGTGGAAAAGAACACTCTGCTCCTGGATCTCAACAACCAAAATAAACAGAGTGTAGCTTTTGATGTGCCATGAACCAAAGCAGAGTTTTTGGGGAGGAATAACACAATGAAAATATCTAGTCTGTGCCTCTGGAGGAAGGGTATAAAGTGAAAGCTATTTTAGCATAAGAAGACTAAATCTTCCTCTAAAGGCATTCAGGAGCCCAAACACAACAAAAACAGCCATAAAAGCAATTTTATAGCATGCGACAAAGTTATAAAAGAAATTATATGGCTCTAATAAGCCTGGCAATCGTCTGTCGTTATTGTATAATGAGGACTGAGTAATTAAGTATTTCAGACGTGGCAGTAATCCTGTCCTGTAAAATGATATAATTAGAGATGATGCATGCATCTTTGCGGCCTTTTTAATAGCCTGTGTCAATGAATTATGCAAAATGCATATGCAGCATTCATTTGTATTTCAGACCGAGTTTTCTTAGATTAACGTAAATGCAACACTGGCCATAAAAAGCCAAGTGCAAAAAAAAAGTACCTAGTGGAGCGATCCAATCAGATGTTCTGGGCGCTCCAATGTTCACTGGACTCCATGGCCACATCAAAGGCAAATGGTGGGGTTTGTTAGATTTTCTTTAAAGTTGAGTTTACGCGCCTTTTCTTTCAGACGTTCCTTTCTTGTGGGCTGAACTCTTTGTAGCTATTTCAGTTTGGTGGCAAGGATTCAGAAGTGTGGTGCCGTCTCCAGTAACTATCACATTTCCATTTCAGACCTCGGTCAGATAAAGTTGCTATTTCATTTTCTACAAATAGCCCAACAACAAAAAAATAAATAAAAAATGTCAGACATGATACAGTTGTATGTTCTCAATGTTAGTTAGACTCTATGGCACAAGTGCAACCATGTGTTAAATGAATACTGTGTAACACTTTTTATTTTTAATCACAATATACACACGTGTCTGCTCAGCAGCAAAACGAATGACATACAAATTCAGACCCAACTGCTTGGCAGTGTGAAGCTTTTCTCACCTAAAGAGCCGAGCTAAAAGAGCAGCTAAAAATAAGCTTATTAATGTTGAGGGGTAATTACGCTAACACATTTGTTCTTATAGCCTTACAAGTTCACGTTCTATAAATTCAGTTTCACAGCTTCATCAGTTAAAATACACCAGTAGAAAATTCATTAATTAAAAAGCAGCTCCAAAGCCACGGTTGATTTTTAAAACTCTATGTATGTCTCCTTATCAGCCGTGGTACATGTTTTATTGTATGAATTGTAACTTGACAGGTTGCTATTTGGCTCACGTTCCTTGTTTCTAGTTTGCTTGTTGTGTAGCTGTTATGTCTGTAAAAGCTTTTTGTAAGCGGTTTGCTGTCTAGAAAGCAAGAAGCCTCATAAGGAACACTTAAACCCAATAGAAAGCATTTTTAACAGTGTATAAACTTTTAATGATCCTTTTAAAGCTCTTTCAAGTAAATTAATGCAAAGTCTGTTTCCTTTCTTTACAGCTTTGTTTTACAAGGTTGTCATCCTTCTTCTGTTTACAGCTCAGACTCTACTTCTGGGTGTCCACAAACTCATTACTGCTTCATCTATGCTGTAACTACTTTCTTCATCTTTGGCGTAAAGCCTTATCTTACTGAAAAGACTGACATCTTGATCCCCTGTGGCCTCTGCTCCTTTCACAGATACTGTAATGAACACCTGCCCTGCCCTCCACATGTCTACTGGTCGGCATGGTCGGCATGGGAACGCTGCAACGTGCCTTGCGGTGGAGGCATCCAGTCGCGACGCAGGACCTGTGAGAACGGCAACGACTGTCCCGGGTGTGGTCAGGTATGTCGCGCCGAACAATAACCCCTCACTCGTGCACCGTCCTCGAACCTCGACTTCCTCTCTGTCTCCTCATTGTTCAGGAGCTCAGCCTCATCCCTCTCTGACGCGATGAACAGCCAGTGCTGATGAAATGGGAACATCTAACACGACCAAATCCCCTGGCTATATTTATACAGTGGCAGCAGACATCAGATTTATTACCAAGACCTATTTAATACCACACGCACGCACACGCACACACACACACACACACACACACACACACACACACACACAGACACAGACACAAACACGCAGTAATCACTTCACATATGAATAGGCTTATTTTCTGCCACAAAGCTTTCTCCAAAGCACGGATGATGCAAGGATGTGTTGAAATATGAGCGCTCTCCTTGTTGACAGAATGATGTGATGCTGGTGTTATTTCTGGTGCTATTTTCACACACGCACACACAAACACACACGCACACAAAGTCTTGGTATAAATGAGAGAGAATGAACATGATAGCTGTAGCCTCTCGTGTCCCTCTTGAACACAGATTAAAGAATATGGGTCAGTCTTGCGATACATGGGACCCTGAAAGGGTTTTTTTTGTTTGTGCAAAAAATTACAAAAAAACAGATTGGATGGTTTAAGGAAAAGCCTTTTAAGTCTTTTATAAAAGGCTGGTTGTGGTTTAGGGTTTAGAATCCTAAACATGATTACAAACACGTAGCATATCCATGATACTGTATGTACATATTGTGCGTTTATTTGTGCAATATGGAGGTTGTTTCTTTCAAATCTATTTGACTAATACTTTTTTTTGTTTTCAAATGAACACTTTTAAGCTCCTCTGGGGAACTTTCAGTGATGTTATTTTTTCGGTGCCCCCTGAAGACAAAAGTACTGCTGTGTTTCTAATCTCATCCTGCTCTCTTAAAAAGGTCAAATGTTTCACGCATCTAGAATCTTTCCCGTGGAAAATGCAAAACACTCTTATGTTTATCGATATATTGCAGTCCACCCCTTCGTCTGACACCTACCCTGCGGCAGTGGTTCCAGGCCTTCATAATACCAATGTAGAAATGATCAAACTTGTTGCTTGTGGTCTCATTTGATTTGTTAGGTCAGACAGAGACATTGGTGGTACATTTCAGTGTATTTCAGAAGCAGCTCAAAAAGTCTTCACAGGATCTTTAAGATACTTAATAAAGAAAACAAGGAATACTGCAAAGCCCTCTCTTTTTTAAACAACTAAAATGCCTTTTTATGGCATGATGATGTAGACCTTTACATAAACTTCATCAATAATCAAAAATCTAAATTCTGTTCAAAACAGAAACACAAAGAACAAACAACCTAACAATCAGAAATGATGTAAATCAGTTACTCAGAAGCGTTTTGCAGTTATTCATACTGTATACACACACTGGTCACGGTAATACAATTCTCTCATTTAAGGTGACCCTGTTAGCTCAGCCAAAGATGAGGCAGAAAAAACATTACAAGCGCTTTAACCTGGCAAACTGAGTTTGTGTAATGACATGCATGATGTGTCCTGGTGACCATAAAGGTTAGAGCTACTGAGAGTTTTACGAGTCAGTCGAGAATATGATAAGGGAGTTCATTCAGTGTGGCCTTATAAAGAAAGATGCACCAATGGTCCATCCTTCACTCGTATAAAGGTACATCACACACAATTGGACACAGACATTCACTGTGCAAATTGCAAAAGGACTGTTGGATAAAAATAAAAAGATTTTCAGCATTCAGCGAACCGAATAGCGGAAAAAAAGAAAAAAAAAAAACACATCCCACAGGTTGTGTAATGGCCCGCTGTGAAGCTGAATAATACTCTGGCAGCATTGAGGAAACATCCCACATAAGACCTTCTAACCTCCAAGCATATATCTGATAATTGTCCATGACACATTAGTCGCTGCAGAACACACAAATGAAAAGACTGACCTCCCATTAAATAGCAATTTAGCATTCACACCATAATATCTACAGCTACGTGTAGACGCCCACTCGCTCTCCTCACACACATGCACACACATCCTCACTGAAGCATCCTGGGTGTGCAGCGGCATTCCTGCGAGAGCGCAGTTCAGAGAAGGAGACTTGATGAGGAGCTTCAGGGGGGGGGGGGGATTCTGATCTCACTGCTGTTTCCAAACGGGAGTCTGTCTGTGACTGTCTGCAGTTTTTTGGGGTATTTTGTTGATATCTGGAGCGGAGCACAGCCTCAGTGAGGAGGAGGAGGGGATGTTAGGGAGAGTTTGTTCTGCTGTTGGGGGGGGGGAGGGGGTTTGTAGTGATGACAGACAAGAAAGTGAAAAGTAGAGAGAGCCGAGGCGGGTTAGTGGGAGAGGTCAAAAAAGCAGCATGGACAAACACAAAACTCTTTTTTTTTCTGTCACCCTCTCCTTTGCTTTTCTTTTCTTTCAAAGCCCTTTAATTGTTGTCTCTTTTTGGTTGTTTTTTTGTTTCATCATCAGACATTATTCTCTCCAAACATTTCATTGTGGACTTAATTGGGGCCGCTTTTGCCACCAGAGTTGTAATTACATTCAGATTTTAGAGACATGTTCTCTTTCTTCTTTTTTTTTTGACAGCTTAGCGAACGATAGCTTCATGTGTACAGAACCATTGGCTGCCTGTCATTTACGACTCTGATAACGGCCCAGCTGTTAGTGTAATGCAACGATTGCTTCACTGCACTTAAACACCCTACATGATAGACGCTCGAGTCTTCAGGACAGGAAACAGTAACGCTCTGCACCTTTAATAACATGAGTCGAATACATTTGTATTCACCACTTGAAGATCAAGGATGATGAGAAAGCGTTCGTAAAATTTCATCAAGAACCCCCCCCCCCACTCAAAAAAAGTGTGATTGAGTTTTTTATGTGCCATCTGCCTGTGTTCTCTACCCCTGGACAGATCTGTGTTTTAATTAAACAGAAGGAGACCACACACACACATAATCACACACACACGTTGCAGCTTCTGTCATCACAGCAACTTCTTTTTTTTTTACAAAATCAGACACCCTGCTGCGACCTGCAAAGATGAACACAGAGTATGTGTTTAGACGTGGATGCATGAATACGTTTTGTATTCATGTTTTGCTGTCAGGATTGATAACGCCGCAGCCACCTGCGGTCAGCTCCAGGCATTTGCCAGACATTAATCGACAGCAACGAGCCAACATCTGCTTAGGCTTTTCACACAGATATCAAGCACAGACTTTCCCAAGAAATACTAACTTTTTTTTTTGCAACTTGTTTTGAAAAGTCTACAAAGCTGGACTGAAGTTGGAGATAGCGGTCTCAGGTCAGCGCTCCCAACATGCTCTCTAGAGAAACGCTGAGCAAAACATCGATTAAATTTTGTCTTACTTTCTTGTGATTCCTTATTGATCCCTGGAGCAAAATTTTCTCAAGCTTATACTCCCCACAGGGAGCTCACATTAGATACAAAACAGCTCAAGTGAAGCAAGTAAGGATTCAGGTCAAGGACGCTTCACTTTAAACAAAAGTGTCTCTACTTAATATGCAAGCCTTAAAACTAAATGTTGCCACATGCCTGATCAAAAGAGCAAACTCTGCAGGTGCTGCATTTCCCATCCAACCTGCCCTAATGCTGCCCTGCGTGTCATTGCCTTAAGCCTCAGCAGTCTTATCATCATAAAAGTATTTAGTCCTTAGGTGCTCTGTGCCTCATTTTGCTGATGCAAAAGACCACACGACTGCAACTTCATCAGTCTGAGTCCTGGTCCGCTCAGCGCAGCTCCATCGCTCTTGTGTTTTTCTGGATCTGCATTTCAGGTTTGAACCCCCCAGAGGAAATGTAGAAGGAGCCTCTCCTGTGGCACAGCAGTGATGCTGTGTTCAACAAGTGCGGTCAAAGACAAAGAAGCAATAACCTTCATTTAAGTTTCCTGTTGTGTAAAAAGACATTAAAAACACAAAGAAGACACAGGGGTATATTGTAGAGTTGCTCCAATGAAAATAATTCACCATTCAACACTTTTCATGCAGTTCACGCACCATGTTCAAACCCACACACTGTTGATCAAGGCCGAGGAATTCATTCCAGGTTGATTAGGAAGGAATTATTGTTAAAGAGGAAGACAAAGGTCTTTTGTATTCTATTATTAATGGTGGCTTAGTTGTTTTTTACTTTTCGAAGCAGAAATGAACTGAAAAAAAAACTTCCACAGACTTTTTTTTCAATCTACTATCTACTATCTACCTCAGGAAACACGGCCCTCATTTGGCTTTCTCAGAGTTTCTCCTCTCTACATGTTTGTCTGACTGTGAGTCTCCTTTAAAACCCAAGTAACAAAATCCATCAAATCAATCCCTTCAAAAAAGACAAATAAGGGCTGCTGGTGGATAAAGTACACATGGCTACATTACTGTGGTTGTATCTCACTTGTATCAACACGACACAACAACAAACAATCTGAGAAGAATTTCAAAATTTTTAAGTATTTTTTTTAAGACCTTAATTTGAAGACAGGACAGTGGAAAGAGTCAGAGACTGGGGAGAGAGAGAGTAGCAGACTGGAACCCAGGCCGCCCAATAGAAGACTACAGCCTCTGTACATGCGGGGCACGCACTAACCACTAGGCCATACCTTTTTCAAGTAATTTTGACTTGGAATATTTTAGCAAACTCCCCATGAATCTGTCCTCAAATGCCATTAATGCCAAAATATTACCAATACAATTTCCACTTTTTACTTTCAGGTCGCCAAATACAAAAAGTTCTGTTTACACCACTGGTGCTGAGCTGCCACTCTTCTTATCTCTTCAGTCTAATAACAATCTGATCCTGTAACACTGAATAACTGAATGAAAACAACAGACTGTCTTTAGCTGTCGTAGAGGGGTTACTGATGAAAGATCCCTTTATGTGTAAATAGGTGAAGTTGATCTCTTGCCATTGCAGGATTGTTGGTAACGCTAGTAAGTGCAACACATAAATCAGCCACCATGATTCAACA